CGCCTCCTGGGTTCAGGCAATTCTCCTGCCTCAGCCTCCTGAGTAGCTGGGATTACAGGCACGCGCCACCATGCCCAGCTAATTTTTTGTATTTTTAGTAGAGACGGGGTTTCACCATGCTGACCAGGATGGTCTCGATCTCTTGACCTCGTGATCCACCCGCCTCGGCCTCCCAAAGTGCTGGGATTACAGGCTTGAGCCACCGCGCCCGGCCTGCATCTTAATTGTTAATCCTTGTCTTGTGATAGCCAGAGGCTGTCGAACCCCAACAAAGACAGATTTTGCTGAAACAGTTGAATGGAATATTACTCCTTTAAGATTACTCAGTTTCTAGTGCAAAACATTCTAAGTAAGACATATTTCCAGTGTTAGAAAATATCACAAAAAGTTATGAATGAAAGGGGGTAGAGACTTAGATGCAGATATACAGCAAGCCGACAGAAGTCCTCCTTTGTACCTCCTAGTGAACGGAGAGGAACAATTCAGTTTGAGAACAGTTATGTGCTCACAGTAGAATCTCACACATAGTTGATGGGAAGGAGCTGTAACTTTTTTATAATTGTTCAAGATTAGATTGTTAATGATATCTCTTTTGGCAAGGTCAATTATTATAGCTGAGACAAGTTTAATAATACAATAGGCCATACATTTTATTTTTCCCAAGTTTTTTCAGGATAATAAAGATAATAAGGAACTAGATTGGCAGCATTGCAGTTTAATTTTGTTACATGATACAGTAGCAGGAGAGGTTTTTATCTATAATTATTGACTATTTGTATGCCATAGTTTTTCATATGGGATCCTCCCCTACATAAATCGACCCGCTAGAGAAACAGGAAGAAAGTATATCAGTACTGCTTCTTGTCTGAAAAAGAGACAGAAAAAAGGGGAACATAAATGTGACAAATATTAAGATACAGCAATGTAATGGAAGAAACTTTGCAAAATGAAATTCAGCAAATACCTCGTACAAAACCAAAGATCTATGAAATGTGTTTTTAAAATATTATGTGATTTAATACTCTTTAAGTATGACATCGTCGTATGAGGTTGAAATAGACTTTTTCATTCCCCCAAACATTTTTCAGCTCTTGACAACTAGTTTCTTAATATCCTAGTTACTAAAAATGAACTAGGATATTTCCTCAGCAGTGCTCAGTACTGCTGTAAAATTTTTAGAAGGGGAAGGTAATATGTAGGGAACTCATACAGGAGACTGCTAGATACTTTTATAATTAGCATAATTAATCTTTACCACAACCTTATGAAGTAGCTACTGTCATCTCCATTTTATAGGGGAGGAAACAGGCTTAGCAGTCCAACTAATCCATACCTTAGTAGGAGTGTCATTTTTCTTCAGAATAATTTTTTTTTTTTTTTTTTTGAGACAGAGTTTCGCTGTTGTCTGCCCAGGCTGGAGTGCAATGGCATGATCTCGGCTCTCTGCAACCTCCTGGGTTCAAGCAATTCTCCTGCCTCAGCCTCTTGAGTAGCTGGGATGACATTTGCTTGCCACCATGCCTGCTAATTTTTGTATTTTCAGTAGAGATGGGGTTTTACCATGTTGGCCAGGCTGGTCTGAACTCCTGATCTCAGGTGATCTGCCTGCCTCAGCTTCCCAAAATGCTGGGATTACAGGTGTCAACCACCATGCCTGGAAAGAGCGTTTTACTTGTATTATCTCATTTAATCTTTAATGGCAAATTTATACGTTTCTTTTTTACAGATGGCCACACTGAGGGTCAGATAAAGTAACTTGCCCAACATCAGATTTGAATAGTTTTAGGAATAGTAAGATCTGAGGGAGATGAATACTTACCTTGGAACTCTATAAGACACTCCAGACATTCTTAATGATGCCTTATTGGAGTATTTAACTTAATTGGAACTATCTAGTGACTGTTGAGAAGATGCGTGATCTGTAATATGGATGAATTGAAACAACAGGTTTGCCCAAACTAAAAATGATTGAATAAAACCCTGTTAAATACAGAAAGACTGCAACTTCAATTTAGTAATCTGATTCAATAAAGGATATATGTAAAATGTTTTTATTACAGTGTTATTTTTAATAGTTAATAATTGGAATTATTATCTTGCAAAGGAAGTGTTAAATTGATGTATCTACTTGATAGAACATTATATAGCCAACAAAATGATAAATATTAGCACTCTGATCACATGGAAAATACTGAACATGCTGAGGGCAAAAAACAATACAAACAAGTTGGCATCAGTTACAGTCATGTAAAAATTACGTGAATATTGATCAGAATTGGAGAAAATGAATAAATGAAAACTGAGTGGTGAGATTATGATTAACTTTTATGTAGAATGTTATTAGTTTTATAATGTTTATGTAATAAAAAATCAATATGAGAAGATATATTCATAACAACAAAAATATTAACAGATCCAGTGGACTTTAAATAGATGGTATGTTATACTGTATTTAAAACATTTCCTTGGAAATAATTAAAATAATTTCTAAAATATTTTCTTTCAGCAAATTATTTTCTTGCAAAGGAAGCTAAAGTATGTACAAACTAATAATAGAATCTTGGACTTAGCAATGCAGAGAAGGATACAGATTGCTCCACTAGTTGAACCATTAGCAGTTGCTATGAGAAATCATCTCAGATGACATGGCATAAAAATGAATATATTCTGTTTTGTTAGAAATATGATCCTCATGATTGTATTAGGTTAAATCTGCAAACCATTGCCAACAAATTTGGGTAGTATTTTCTGTGGCCACTAGACAATTGGATTCTTAGTGAATCTTGTTGGATTTGATAAAGACTAATTCTTAATTGCTTAGGAATATCTAGTTGAGATTTGCAGTTTCTATTCTTATTCATTTTAATGGCACCTGGTTTTATGCAACTGTAAAAAACATGAGAACTTTATTCAACTAAGTCTGTAATTTAAAAACCCTCATTCACCCAGAATTCATAGCTTGAACAGTATTTTCCCCTCAAGAGCTTTAGGATTGATTCTTCATGTGATTTTGATCTCAACTGGTTGTAAGTTCGGTATGTTCATGGCCACAGGTTTTCTTCTTGTCCTTGTGTGCCTGTTTTGGACAGTACAGAAACACCACTGCTTCCCTCTAGTATTTGACGTTACTTTTTTAGGATATAAAATGCCATACATGTGATAGTGTGTTAATATTATAATCAAGAAAAATGTGTATTAAATGCCATGTGGTTAATGATGGCTATTCTTTCATGGCAGTGCTGGGAGAAGGACTGGCTAAGGGAGACGATGCCTTCCGGGCAGTGCTTTGCTGCATGCAGCTGAAAGGGAAGCTCCAACCTGTATCCACCATTCTTGCCAAGTCACTGACAGGAGAGTCCCTGGTATGTTGATAAGCTCTAATTTTGAATGCCTGAAAACAAATTTTTATTTGATTTCTGAGGTATATTGTGGGGAAAAAAGTGTATTTTTTTTTCTCTTAGTTCTTCCTATCAGAAAGCAAAATTCATGAGGATCTTGAGACAAGGTCTCAATCTGTTGCCTATGCTGAGTTAAGTGGTGTGATCACGGTTCACTGCAGACTTAACCTCCTGGGCTCCAGCAATCCTCTTGCCTCAGCCTCCTGAGTAGCTGGGACTATAGATGTGCACCACCATCCCTGCTAATTTTTGATTTTTTTGTAGAAGCAAGGTCTTACCATGTTACCCAGGCTGGTCTTGAACTCCTGGGCTCAAGTGATCCTCTCTTCTTGGCCTTCCAAAGTGCTGGGATTACAGGCATGCACTACCACGCTCTGCTAATTTTGTATTTGTAGTAGAGATGGGGTTTCTCGGTGTTGGTCAGGCTGATCTCAGATTCGCGACCTCGAGTGATCTACCCACCTCAGCCTCCTAAAGTGCTGGGATTACAGATGTGAGCCACTGCACCTGGCCAGCTTTGATTTTTTTTAAGTGACGGGATCTTGCTGTATTGTTGAGGCTGGAGTGCGGTGGCTAGTCATGGAGTGATCATAGTGCACTACAGCTTTGAACTCTTCTGCTCAAGTGACCTTGTTTAAACCTCCTCAATAGCTAGGACAACAGGCCAGGCATATGCCACTGTGCTCAGCACTATATTTAATTTTTTGGCTTTTTTTGTTGAGATAGTTGAAAGGCTACTTTTTGAAACTTTGGAATTGATAATCTATAGAAAGTGGAACAAAAGATATATAATCTTTTTTTTTTTTTTTTAAACCAATTGGTAACTTATGAAATCTGTTGATAATTTTCAAGAATCATAATGAAAAACAATGTTGATAATTTTCAAGAATCACAATAAAAAACTTTGCTATGCTGTGTGAATTCCGTATATTTTACCTATTCTTCTGAATTGATATAGATGATGCAATTATGGGGCAGATTTGTGTTTTTACTGCAAATATTAAATAAATAATTTGGTTTGAAAAAAGAAGGTAGGAGGCTGGCACAGTATCTCATGTCTGTAATCCCAGCACTTTGGGAGGCTGAGGGAGGTGGAACACCGGAGGTTGGAAGTTCGAGACCAGCCTGACCAACATGGAGAACAGCGTCTCTACTAAAAATACAAAATTAGCCGGGCATGGTGGCAAATGCTTGTAATCCCAACTTTTGAGGAGGCTGAGGCAGAAGTATCGCTTGAACCTGGGAGGCAGAGTTGTAGTGAGCCGAGGTCACGCCATTTCACTCCAGCCTGGGCAACAAGAGGGAAACTCTGTCTCAAAAAAAAAAAAAAAAAAAAAAAAAAAAAAACAAGAAGTTAGGAAAGTACTTGGTATATTGTTGAGTGTAATGTATTGGCCTATCTTGGGATAGTTATTTTCTAAGGAATTGTTGTGCAGTGAATTGTTTAATTATGTTTAAGTTGAGCAGTATCTTTTGATTTCACCAGCTTCAGAAATGAACTTAAAAGCTAAAATGTAGTAGCATAGAGGAATTATATAGCTATATAGTTCTAAATAGATGATAAAGGAATATATCTCTTTGTTATTAAGATGATTTTATCATTAAAGGGCTTTTCTGTATAAGCTTATTACAGTTTTACCTGTTTTAGTAAAAAGTAACTTGCTTTTAAATCTCAAACTAGTAAAAAGTAATTTGCTTTTAAATCTCAAATGAAATTGAGATTTCAGAAAAGTATTTTCCTTCAATAGTTGCATTAAAGAGACATTTTTAAAGTGGTGTGAACAGCTTACATGAATCTTTCTGAATCATGGCTGAATTCACCATTTTGTACATATAAGCTTATTAGGGAAAAGGTTAAAAACAGTTATAGGTTATTTTCCTTTTCATTATGCTATCCTGCTTTACAGTGGTACTGTTGTTAAAATTTTCTTGACTTAATTTTAATTAAAGTAAGGTGAATACAGTGGTTTTACTTACCAGGAAAGGCACTCTGTATAGTTTTTTGGGTTTAACCTTTTTAACTTTCCTCATAGATGTGTTGCTTTGTTATTATGGTTAATGGTAGTAGTGATGAGGGATAAGATAACATTTTTTTAAAAAATAAACTTCAGAAACAACAGAGGAATTGAGCTAAGTTGCCATAGTAAAGAACTAATATGCAAATTGTTTTTCTCTTTTTTATTCACCCTTTCAGAATGGGATGGTAACAAAGGATTTGACAAGACTAAAAACACTTCTGTCAGAAACAGAGGTAAGACCATTTCAGTGGATCTGTTTGGTAGAGTTTGACTCAACCTGGCTCGTAAGCATTATATATTAAAATTTGGAAAACCATTGTGGCATCAGCCAAGAAGGCAAGGCTGTGAAGGTGGCGTAGTGGGGCCTTCCATGTGGGGCCTTCTCTTGTAACCCCCTGTAACCCAAAGTCTTGTCTTTGGAACACTGCTTCTTCACACGGCTCCTCTGTGTGCCAGGCTTCTGTTCTCTGCCTAGTGGACAGAACTGATGTTTTATTAGCTATTTCTGGACAACAAATGGGAAGATGATTGGGGAATTTTAATTTTTAACTACTTCTGGCTACTAGAAAATGAAATGCCATCATTAAAAATGAGATACCCCTCAAGCCTTACTTATTTATTTATTTAAGATGGGGTCTCACTCTGTTTCCTAGGTTGGAGTGCAGTGGCGTGATCCTGGCTCACTGCAGCCTTGACCTCCCTCAGCTCAGGTGATCCTCCCACCTCAGCCTCTTGAGTAGCTGGAACTACAGGTGCACTCCACCACCCGGCTAATTTTTTTATTTTTAATTTTTGGTAGAGGTGGAGTTTTGCCATATTGCCCAGGCTGGTCTCCTGGGCTCAAGTGATCTGTCTGCCTCTGCCTCTCAAAGCACTGCAATTACAGGCATGAGCCAACATGCCAGGCCTTCCTTTTGTATTTTTTAAAGCAACTGACAGAAGTCTGTGCCTTAAGGACTGTCTTTAAGGAATGGTTTAGGAGATGGAAATAATGTGTATCAGGGTAAATAGTGAACAAAAAAGTGCTCCAGTGAAGGACTGGGAGGACACATGGAAGGCCAGGGACAACAGTGGCATGTAAAAGGCCCCTAGCTTTGTAAGTCTCAAGTTTCTTTTCTTCATATAGGCATAAAAAAGTATTTTTATTTTTAGATGTCCTATTTAAAAAAATAGCCATTTCATCAGCTTTTGTCATAAGTGGAAGCCCACATAAAGTGATTAATTGGCTTATTTACTCAAGAATTGAGCACTTCCTATGTGCTAGGTACTATGCTCATTGCTGGGGTACAGCACTGAATATGGTTGTTGTCCTCTTGGAGGTTAAAGTTTTAGGAAGGAGATAGGCAACAAATACATGAATTAAACAACTGTAGGTATAATTCACAGAGAGGTAGGTGGTATGAGGGAAAAGAATAAACTCTTTTGCTGGAAAAATCACTGGATTCAGTGGCCAGGGACTGAGACAGTGAAGAGCTGAGAGTTAAGAAAGTGCTTGTCTCATGGAGAGAGGTGGAGGGCATTTCAGACAGACAGACAGAGGGGATTGCAGAGACCCTGGTGTCAACCTTGACCTCCTGTGGATTTCCTTTTTCATTCCAGATCTACATCCTGTTGCATGTAAGGCCACAAATATCACTTGACTCTTTTTGTGACTATACTTTTGGAAGAAGTGACTTAAGTTTTTGTAATTTTTTCTCTATCTAACTAGAGTAGTAGTCTTTTTGGTTAGTGAACTGATGCTATTAAAAGATAACCATTTAGGAAAAGCTAGCAAATAATACTACCCTTATTTATTATTGCACATGACATTTAAAAATAACAACAATTTGTTATTTAAAGATTGGGCTTAGCTGGTATTTAACTTGTAAATGCTAATGGATGAGAATAAAGACCTGGAACTAATGGCTGATTTATAAAAACAAAAACAAGTATTCTTTAGTGAATATTCTTTAGTAAAATTGAACATATCTGATTAATAGATTAGATGCTGAATTTACAGTTCTAGCAATGTAGTCTTTGGCTGTTTTTCCTGAAGATGTCAGTAAAGATTGATGATGATAAACTGTAGCCTTTTAGTTTTGGAGTGTGAGCACATAAAGAGTGTTTAAAAAACAGACACAACACTTTTGGAACCTAAAAGCCAGGACATCTAAATACTTAGCCAGGCTGAGTGCCTTACTTTACCAGCTCTCCGCCGAGCATGTGCTGCTCCCCACATCCCCCCCGAGACTGAGAGCTGCAGTGTCAGCACAGGCCCACGCGGGTCCTTACTGATCCTCGCAGGCGCTGACTGCTGAAATGCACCGCGGGGTGTTTTCTCCAATAGTTATCAGTGTTTTAGACTTAACTTTATGGCCATAACATTTTAATAATGTTTACTAAACATCTTTATTCCCATGATTTTTCTTGCACATTTGGTAAATTTATTTTGATAGGTTTTAAAAAGGAGATACTTTAACATTTTCATACTTGCAGTGAATTTTTAGCTTATCTATTTATATATGTTATGTAAATAAAATCATTTTGAAGGGCTAGTTTGTGACAATGGCACACTAGACCTTGCTTGGAGAATTTAAAAAGATCTTTTAATGGTTTCTTTTTTTTCAGCAGCATAGAATGCTTATAATATGAATAATTCCTCCTGATTTATTTGTTAGTCTGTGTATTCTTTTATGCAGCCCTTCATTTTACAAAAAATAATGGGTTGCCTTTAAAAACTCCTTAGTAAGCGCTTGACTGATAATCAGAAGGCATTTTCCTGTGGAAACAGTATTACAGTGTTTAGTTCAAGCCCAACCTAAAAAGTACAATTTAATCAACCACATATAAATTATAGTGATAGTATTGTTTCATTTATACCCAGTTAGCATTCATGACATTCTTTCTATGGTACAAGATATTCCAAATTTCATCTTGGGATACTGTTTCCTTCTTCTGATCCAGTTTAACATTTACTGAGCACCTGTGCTATTCAAGGCTGTGGAAAGCAGAGATGTCTGTGAAAAACAATCTGGCAGGTCAGTCAGAGATGCACATAGCTAATGTGCACACAGGGCAGCCTGCGATCAGTAAGTGCTATCACAAAATACAGGCAGGGAAGGGAAGAACTCTGCAGGTTAATCAGGGGGGCAAAAGTATGAGAACTGAGTTTAAAGGCTAGGGATAGCTAAGTGTATTAGTCTGTTTTCACGCTGCTAATAAAGACATACCTGAGACGGAGTAATTTATAAAAGAAAGAGGTAATGGACTCACAGTTCCATGTGGCTGGGGAGGCCTCACAATCATAGCGAAAGGCGAAAGGCACATCTGACATGACGGCAGACGAGAAGAATGAGAGCCAAGTGAAAGGGGTTTCCCCTTACAAAACCATTAGATATTATGAGACTTATTCACTATCACGAGAACGATATGGGGGAACCACTCCCATGATTCAGTTATCTCCCACTGTGCCCCTCTCACAACAGAAGGGAATTATGGGAGCTACACTTCAAGATGAGATTTGGGTGGGGACACAGCCAAACCATCTTACTAAGTAAAGACCCAGAGGTGATTTGATACAGGGCAAGATTGGCAAGCTGTCAGTTGGTTCAGGGATAAATGAGACAAGCGGTAATGAGGGCTTTATCTGGGACAGTGGTAGTGGGAGGAGAGACAGAGATAAGAGACATTCTAGACCTGCTTAGACAAGATTTGGAGAATACTTGGGCTGGGTGCGGTGGCTTATGCCTGTAATCCCAGCAGTTTGGGAGGCTGAAACAGGAGAATCACTTGAACCTGGGAGGCAGAGGTTGTGGTGAGTGGAGATCATGCCATTGCACCCCAGCCTGGGCAACAAGAGCGAAACTCCATCTCAAAAAAAAAAAAAAAAAAAAGATTTGGAGAATATTCAGCGCAGAATAGGAGGAGGAGGAGTTCTAGATGGCTTTAAAAATTTAAGCTTGGTGGCTCTCTTTGGGTAAGAAGAATCCGTTAACTTGGATAAGGAACACTGAAGAAGGATCAGCTTTGGGATAAAGTTGATGAATTTTGCTTTGGGCATATTGTATTTAAAATGCTTCGGTAAATCATCCATCTACCCACCCACCCACCCAGGCACCTACCCATCCATCCAACCATCTGTCCATTTATCCACCCACTCACCCACCCATTCATCCAGCATTTACTGAGCACCCATTATGATGTACCAGAAACTTTGAGAGGTGCAGGACTACAGAAAGGCAGTTACAGACTGCTGACAGCAGATCTGTATGTAGCTGATAATGATCCAGCATGTAAAGTGTTACAGAATAGTTTAGAAAAAGTGCTATGGGTGCTATGGTTGGCATTTTGTTGAAATTTGAGGTATAGAGCTTACGGTAAAGTTACAGCCTAAAGCGCAGATTGGGGATTTATCTGAGGATGTTAGAGGGAATGGATCCTTAGCCTTGGACTCTACTGTGGGAGAAGGGCTCATCTTAGAGTGAGTGAGGGACCTGGCAGGAAGTGCTCCCAGGCCCCAAAGTGGTAGCATGCCATTATAGCTGCAAGAAAAAGGAACCTCTAGCCAAGCACGGTGGCTCATGCATGTAATCCTAGCACTTTGGGAGGCCGAGGCGGGTATATCACCTGAGGTCAGGCGTTTGAGACCACATGGTGCAACCCTGTCTCTATTAAAAATGCAAAAATTAGCCACACGTGGTAGTGGGTGCCTGTAATCTCAGCTACTCAGGAGGCTGAGGCAGGAGAATCGCCTGAACCCGGTGGGCAGAGGTTGCAGTGAGCTGAGATTGCGCCACTTCACTCCAGCCTGTGTGACAAGAGCAAGACTCCATCTCAAAAAAAAAAAAAAAAAAAAAAAAAAAAAAAAAAAAAAAAAAAAAAAAAAAAAAAAAAAAAAACAAAAAAAGAGAAAAGGAACCTCTGTAATCAGACATTTTCTGGGTGTTATGAAGAGGAATGGATGAAAGGTGCTACCTGGTGAGGTTCAGGACTGAAGACTTAGACTTCTCTTCTGCTGCCAGCTAATTTCTGTGTAGGAGATCTCAATCAGTTTCCTTAATGAGAGCCTCATTAAATACCCTAAACATGTATTTACATGTTTTCCATATTTAATTATAGTTTAACATAGAAAAAGACAAAAAATCATTTGGAACATATTAATGTTATTAAAAATTTCTGTTATTAAAAATTTCTTAGTATTCCAACTTCACCTATGTTTCAATATTGAAAATGTTCAAATTTAGTTTAGTATTAATTGGTTATTTCTTCTTTAAAAAATGTCTTTCATTTGGAAAATTGCAGACAGCAACTAGTAACGCCCTCTCTGGATATCATGTGGAAGACTTAGATGAGGGTAAGTGCTAAACTCTGTGCAGCTTCTGGTAGCTGTGAATATGGGCTTTGCTGTTTTGTCAATTATTGGGAGAAGATTTACTGAGTTACAGTACATATAAGTGAAGATGTAGGAGAGAATATAAAATTTTAATTTTAAGAAGTAGGTATAGACCAAAGCAATTTTCTCTCTGACACCTTTTCATAGAATAATGGAGTAATGGAGGTAGGCAGTAACTTCAGAGGTCATCTATTTCATTTTCCTGCCTCCATGTAGGACTAAATTTAAACATCATTCTTAACAATCGGTAGAGGGAAGAATTCTCTTCTCTTTCTGTCCTACGCTAGTATAGTTATTACTTTTTGGAAGTTTTGATCTGTAAGCTGAGTTGTTTCTGCCCTAATTGAAGTCTGTGATCTTCTATCCTCTCACCAGAGGAAAGGGAAAAGAGGAACATGCATTGAGTGCCTGCTGAATGTTGTGTACTATGTGCAGTGGCTTTCACAAAACATGTACTGACTTCTTAGAATCCTTCTTCAGCTTTTTGACAGGTGTTGAAACTGACATTAAGGTTTATTAGTTGCCCCAAAGACACATAACTAGGAAGAGATGAAGCACAGCTTTAAACTCAACCTAGTTAAATATCTTTCTTTTCCTTTTCTGGGGGGCATAGTGACTTGTGAGGAAATAGAAAATGGCTGGAAGTTCCTTGAAACTTACTGCTGCTCAGCCTCTGGAAAGCTCTAGTCTATTTTTCTCATAATCGTTTTTTTCCCTGGCTAATTTAGAAACTCTTATCCAAACAAATCAAAGTTCACTGTATTCAGAAGTAAGTAAATATTGTGTTTTTAGCTCAACTTTTTGAATTTTATTTCAATTACAAAAAAGGATTACATTCTACAATGACTTGTGTCAGACAATTTCTAAGGAACACGGATGATAACGTGATAATGTGGAACTTCTTCTCACTATGCAGTAGTGGAATTTGTTATGTAAGCTTTCCTTCCAGGATGCAGTGATTTTCTTCCATTCCTGAAGGAATTCCTGATAGACAAGCTTCTTGTGCCTAAGAAATGACAACCCACCCGCCTTGAGTTGTTAGGGAAGAGATGGCACTGGAAACCTGTCCACCAGGTGCTAGGACAGAGTCAGAGTCACCATCTTGATTTAACTAACTTCTGGGAAACTGCCTCTTTCTTTCTTTCTTTCTTTTCTTTTTTTTTTTTTTTTGTTGTTG